GTGATTCTTAGTAATATTTTTAATATTAAAAAAATACTTTGATCTCGAACAAAACATCCTCCATAACCACCATCATATTCATTGTTGAGTTCCCAGCATCTCCATGACATGTAACAGCTCCAAGATTTAAACCGACTAATCCATCAGCGCTCCAAACACCTGCACCATCATCACAACTTGATGGAGAAATGGTACCGATTAAGAAAGGTCCTACATCATCTGATCCAACTAAATTTTGAATTAAAACTATAATTTTGTAGTATATTTTAAATTGCTCGACCTTTAAAAGTTTCCATTTCGTCAGAAAAAATTTTTCCTTTTTTGGTTGAATGGTGTTCAAAATCGCTTTGAAATCCAATTAAACATATTTCAGAACCAGTAGAATGCACATAGTCGATTGGTGGCCCTTCTTCAATACATTTATTTTCAGATTTTAACAATACAAAATCGTATTTTTTTGAGATAAATTCAATTGTTGTTTCATATTTGTAATTATCGTTATAAACTAGGAGCTGTTCACCAATTTTAAAAGTATTATGTCGTCCGTGGGAAAAAGTAGTCAAATAGTTAGGTGTCACCGCCAATACACAAGACTTTGTCATTGGTATGTGGAATAAATATTTTGTTATTTTATCAGAGGTTGGTAAAACTTAAAAAATTTTCATTGTTAAAAATTTTAAGGTTCGGAGGAGTGATACTCAGGGTCCCTTTACCCTTATTTACACCTTTTTTGACCTTTTCACCAGTTTTTCCTGATTTTACACATTTGCCATATTTTTCCCTATTTTTAATTTGTTGTAATATTTTTAAGAGGATTTTTGGCTTCTTGGCCTTCAAAATTTTAAAAAATTTCGACTGCGCCGCTGAAAAAATACCGGCTTATTAGTGGTTGGCGTAAGACAAGGAATTTGGTAATTCTTGCGTTTGTACCCCCCCCTTTTTTTCCTTTCTCAAAGTATTAAAAAAATGCTCAGTCAGTGTTATGTCATAGAACTCGTCGAGCTGTGTCGAATGACACTAAAATTAACCACCGGTCTTAACTTTAGGCCGAGATACAGATCCCCGAAGATTGAAAAATAAAGGGTGGACCAAGCTCATTTTTTGGGCTAAAAATTCGATTAATCAAATAATAGCTCATTCGAAAGGGCTTGTCGAGCTGATTCGAATGACATCGAAATAAACGTAATTGAACAAGATTTGACGAAGTTATGACATAAAGTAATCCTATTGTAGTCGGTGTGACGCTTTTGCTAAACCATCGCTTTACGCAGGTCTTTTGACTGTATCTCGGCCCAAAGTTAAGACCGGGGGTTAATTTTGGTGTCATTCGCCACAGCTCGACGAGTTCTATAACATAAGACTGACTGACCATTTTTCAATACTTTGAGGAAGAAAAAAGAAGAATTACCAAGAACTTTCGGTTCTGAATTCGGATATCATACTTATAGGTTCGACTACTGCTTAAATTTCTGAGGTTACTTTTGTCAGTTTTGAAATTCTTTTCAATCTTAATAATTTTTTAGTTTAGGACTTGAACATTTTTTTATTTAGAAACAGCCTAATCGGATTTGTTCATTGAGTTAAAGCTAGTTAAAAATATGCTTAATTAATTTCAATTTTTAGAATGCCATATTTTTGACCGATTTCGCCCTATTTTACTTTTGAGTGAACGCGCTTTATTTTTGTGCTTTGGAAAGGGTCATCCTGGAGATGCTAAAAACACTAACCACGAAGTTGCTTGTTCTTGTCCAAACCTATAATAGCAATAATTTAGAAAGTTAATAAATGAAAAATAAAAAACTAACCATCAGAACGATAAACAACTTCAAATTTCTTGTTGGCCCAGCCACCTAGTGGCTCAATAAAGCATTGACTAAACTCATCAAAACTAAAAAGAAATGGAATTTCAAAAAAAAGAAAACCCAAACTAAACTTTCCGTACTTGGCTCAAAAATGGACAATTTATGTCAATCATAAAAGCTCACCGAGCTGAGTCGAATGACACTAAAAGTCCGCGGACACATATATGGGCCGAGATAAAGGGCCAATAGAATATTCGCTGGAAAATTCAAATTTTTACCCCAAAATGAGCTTACACCCCCTACGGATTTTCAATATTTAGGGGTCTGTATTTCGGCCCATAGTGTCGTCCCAACCGAAATTCTGGTATCGAAATTCTATACCAAGTACGGAAAGTAGTTTAGCCAAAAAGAAACATACAAAACAAAAATAGTAGACGGTTCATCATTATTTAAAGAAGCATTTTCATTCAAATATTTCAACCCGCACGCATCAGCTGAGAATAAACCTTGTAAAACTTCTAATTGCAACGTCCCTGCTGATGTAAGTCCCACTGTAAAAGTACAATTTGAACCGGACACTTCAATAAACTAAAAAAAGGAGTTGCAATTATTGAAATATAATCATTATTTAAAAGATAACCTGTCGCGACATTTTTAAAATTGAAACTAATTTCTAAAAATAAATCTAAAAATTATTTTATGTAAAAATTAGTAAGGTAGGAAATGTATAATTTAACGTTTTAATGATAAATTTAAAAAGTATAAAGATTTTAATTTAAATAAAAAAAATGAATAAAATACTAGATATTAAAGTCATTATTAACCCTAACTTTTTCATTTAATTGTACAAAATATAACTTTAAAGGAACTTATATGGGTTAGGTAACCTTTTTTAGCCACGCCCTTTTTTTCCTTTTCCATCCTTTTTCTTTAACTTCTCCTTCTTGCCCACCAATCAATTCAACTGAAGATGAAGAAAAAGGTCAGTGAAGAAATAGATTAAATCATCGAAAGATACCTAAACCATATAAATTCATTTTAAAATTGGTTAAAAATAACATTCCATGCCTGCAAAACAAAAAATAAACATAAATCAAAAATTAAATATACGACTTGAGTTTAAAAAACCAATTTAGCATTTTCAATCAGCAAAAATATTCAGTCGTCCTGAATTAGTAAAATTATCAGGCAATAATTTGAATAAGCACCTCTATTACAAACAAAACATTGCTGAAAGTTGACAGAGGTCGTATTTACTTCTTAAAAAATAAAATTTTTATACACTTTTAAATTTTCTTAACTTAAAAAAACATTTATGGTAAAAAAGGGGAGGGAATCGACAGGCCAAATTCTTTAAAAATAAGCGTTTGGCGCGTCATGTAAAAACTCGTTAAAGCAGCGAATTTAGATTTTTGAACTAATCACGTATCACAAAAAAGCAAGTTTAAGAAAAAGGTACAGTGATCACAAACAACAATCATATATCTCATTATATGACTCAAAGAACCACTTTTTCGCTTAGCTTTTAAATTCAAACCTGATAAATTACATCCATTTATTTCAGAATCAATACAATTTTTACAAAAAATGTGACCACAAGAACTCATCCAAAACGATAAATTGTTCTTTGACGGTTGCACCAAACATTTATTACCTTAAAAATAAATCTAATTAGAAGAATGAATGTAACAATAACAATGAACCCAATTTTGCATACTCTGTGCATATTGGAAAATAATTGAAATAAATTTTTAAAAGCTGAAATTGAAAGTGAAAATAAGACAAGTCAATCGAAAAAAATTTATTGAAAGGTTATTTATACTGCTCTTTTAATCAAAGGATAAAATCTTGCCTTATTTGAGTAATTCAAACAAATCAGTAAACAACGAAAGACTCGTCTTTGTAATGTTTTTTGAATGCATTCTCAGCAGCCAAACAAAGCGTCGTTATCTCGCTAGGGTGATAAACAATCTGAAAAAGAACACTTCGATTTGTTGTTGTTGATTCTCGATATAAATGTTTAGGTAAATCAGAAAGGATTATTTGAATACTTTCCAATAATTCCAATTGATTTTTTGGTTCAAATCTTAATTTTTTGGAGATTAAAATAAAAATTTATAAAATAATTCAAGACATAGAAATCTGGCGTTTAGGATTTTAAGTTATTTAACGATTGGTCACTAAAGTAAAAGCAGAATCCCAACGAGACGAGGACTTAAAACGTGAAAAAAAATAGGATTGCAGAACAAAAGAGCTCAAAACAAATTGAAATAAATCAGAGGAGATAAGTGGGGAGAAAAAATATAAAAATACAACAGAGGGGTCTTAAAGATATAAATATTTTTTTAAAATTAAACCTGCTTTTAATTACTTTTCCATCCAATCCAACACTATTAAGTATTCCTTTATGTTCATCTAGCCAATGAAATTGCGTAATAGCCCTTGAGTGCAAGCCTGCTGTTGGACCGCCGCCATTCCATAAAACTTTGCCCACATTTCCCTCAAATGTTGAAAGCAATAAAAGTCACCGTTGTAAAGGCCAACAATTAATATCTAAAAAATAAAAGTTGGTACTTTCCCCCTATCTTAATCTTTTTTCCTCCTTTTTCCAAAAAATATTTTTATATTTGCTTAAACTTAAGTTACAGATCTTGACTATTTGGGTACTTAATCTTCAAACAAATCAACAAACAATCAACTCCAGAGAGCGTAGACCGCGATCTACATAGTGTAAAAAAACAATCAGAAGATCACTAGATTCAATAAAAAATGCTAACCTTCAAGAAACAGATAAGCCTTATCGCCAGGCAACCCCAACACATTGAATATTCGCAAAAGTTGACGCCAATTACCGTGGATGTCGCCAATTATGTATAGCGGTAAACGTTTGATTTTTACAACACAAAACTCGTCTTTGTAATGTTTTTTGGATGTATTCTCAGCAGCCAAACAAAGTGTTGTTATCTCGCTAGGATGATAAACAATCTGCAAAAATAGATTTTAAAAAAAAATAGAGAAAGAAGTCCCAAACCGTTTCTTTGTATAACACAAATGCTTCTCAAAAAACTTTTCAACGATGAAAGTCGGCTGCTCGCGCTCATAGTACTGTTGCTAGTCACAGTTGGTTAGATTTGACTGAAATTAGATTTGACTAAATTCTGATTTATTATTTATATATTTTTAATCCTCATACATCATTCTTATTCTTAACACAGTCAGTCCTGCATCGACTTCTTTATTTCTTCCTCTGTTGGCATATTAAAAAGAGAAAAAATTGAAATGATGTTAAGATTTAAAAATGTTAAAGGCAAGCGCTTATAAATTCTAGGAAGTCCCCGCCTCCTTTCCTTTTTAAAGGAAAAGAGTCCGCCTCCTTTCCTTTTTAAAGGTCTCCCTCCAAATCCACCAGTATCCCCTTATACTGCCAAATCCGTCATTAACTCCTTTAATCCCTACGAACATAAACTGTGTTGATCAAAATGTGTAGGTCTTCAGGGGTGGACTCAGTTCACTAAACCCAACTAAAATGCTCACCCCCAAGAAACAGATAAGCCTTATCGCCAGGCAACCCCAACACATTGAATATTCGCAAAAGTTGACGCCAATTACCGTGGATGTCACCAATTATGTATAGTGGTAAACGTTTGATTTTTACAACACAAAACTCGTCTTTGTAATGTTTTTTGAATGTATTCTCAGCTGCCAAACAAAGTGTTGTTATCTCGCTAGGATGATAAACAATCTGAAAAAAGAGATTTTTGGAATGATAAGAGAAAGAAGTCCCAAACCCGTTTCTTTGTATAACACAAATGCTTCTCCAAAAACTTCTCAAAGATGAAAGTCGGCTGCCTTGCGCTGATAGCACTGTTGGTACTCACAGTTGGACCTATACTTTTACGAGCAGCAGCACCCCGACCAGAAATTGAACGAGCCGTTCTTGCAGTGCTATCATTAGCGGTACTTGTCGATTTGATCCTTGAAATCCTCAAAATGCAACAAACCCATCTGAATAATTTCAACTGACGCGTGCCGCCATTAATGACAAGAGTTAAATATATGTATATTTCTGTCTCACCCTCCTCTCTCTACACATTCTTTTTACTTAGTAATGGAATTACAAAACAGGACACTCCAGTCCCGCTATTTTAGTCCCTCAACTCATTTGAAGCTTTTTCAATTCTTGACCCCCCCCCCATTAAAGTTGCATGAGTCATCCAAAAAAATCTGAAATTGACTGCCACATTTGACTATCCAATTTTAATTCAATATCCTCAGTTTCAGCCATTTTAGTTGCATCAATATCAATCATTTTCTTGTCTAATTCCATTGCTTCTTTTGAATAAATTTGTTTTGGAGGAGGTTCTTTTTATTTCGGATTTTATTAGATCATCCGCCTGGAAAAATATAAAAATAAAGTTAACCCTCATTTTTAAGTATACCCCTTTAGGGCTGCAATAAATTACCCTATGAGGTTATCCTAAATAAAGGGTACCGCTTAGACAATTGCAATTTAAAAATAAATCTTAAATACATCAACAACCAGACGTCCAGTCTGGTTTAAAAATTGAAATCTGGTAATTTTGTTGACCAGATTCTGGCCAATATTTAAGTTTGAAGAGGTAATTGTCGTTGAAAGGCCTCAAGTTCTTTTGCGGAAAAAATTTAAACAAAAAAACCTTAGCAACAGTAGTATCAACATTCCCAACAGCAGCCATTTGTGTTCTAACAGAAAATGCATTCATTCTTGCAGATTAGTTATATCATGTAGAAAAGAACTTTAAAAATATTTTTTTTAAATAATTTTCATAAAGAACACCTAGAAAAATTATCATCAACTAATTCTCAACATCGTTTTCTGTGCCTTATCAAATTTATCCTCGCTTGGATCATGAAATCCTGCTGGGACTTGTTTTTCAAAAGGTATTTCATTATTATAATCCATTAGACGGTGCTTCTTCATTTTATAAGCCCAACCAGATCCAATAATTATTCCAGCAGTCCGAAGTTCTCTTCGTTTTTGTAAAGAAGCAAGTCTTCGAGCCTCGCCTAATTGCTTTTCACGAGCTCTGCGTTTTGCTCTCTTTCCTTTGAGTTGGCTAGACTAGCTCGGGCTTCTGATAACACTTCCAATTCTGAAAAATTAAATGAAAGTTGGTGTTAAAATTAGAGAAAATTTCGGCGGGCATCAAAAACGATTTTCTGGCATAAACAAGAAGCATTAAGATATTGTGGATTTAACAATCAAATTAGTGCAACAAAATTAACTGGATCGTTAAAAATATTTTTATAACTAAATTAGTACGGGTTAACCAGATAAAACAGTTTCAAAAAGTTTCCAAAGTCAATCTGAGCTTGATAAGACCTCTAACATTTATCTAATTTTCATTGTTTTTGAATAGTCAAATATTAAAACTGACCCAGAATTTATTTAATTTATTAAATTAATTTAAAAAATAAAAAAAAACGTTTAGAGAACTAAGGACAGGCCAAGAATACCGACCGAGTTTAATCGATAGAAAACCCCTTAATCGAGAATTTAATCAGTCCAATTTTTATAATTAACCTAATTAGAACCAGATAAACTCACCTAAAATCCCCTCATAATTTTTATTAAAAAATAATATTTTTAAACCTTATGTAAATCTGTTCCACCTGCCCCACGCTTTTTATATTCAATATTTAATTTTGATGGAAGAGGTAATTGTCGTTGAAAGGCTTTTGTTCGTTTTTCCAATTCAAGTGCTTTCTTCTTTTCGGCTATTGCTTGACGACGCTTTTCAAGTTTAGCGGCATCCTCAATCCATTCCTAAGAAAAAAATTTTTAGTATAAAAAATTTTAAGGAATTAACAATCCTATAAGGTATAGAAAATTATAAATAAAATCAGCAAATAAATACATAAATAGGCAGTATTTTTAGGACTCAAAAACTATCCAGAATCATAACGATCGTGGAACCGTGATGCTTTGGAACCAAAAAAACACTGTTAATAGGTCTAAAAACGATTTTAAAAATATCCTAATAAAATAAAATTAAGGAAGAATCAACAAGATTTTTTAGGAACATAAAAAGAGATCCACAAAAAATATTGCAATCCTCCCTCACCATAATTTATTTTTTGTTGAACCCAGAACATGATCTTAATAATTCTTCAATACCTATAGGATTGTTAACTCTCCCAATTTAAAACAAAAAAACCTCTCTCAATCCTCCCTCTCCACCAAAATCATCATCTTCATCCCCAACTTCAGTCAATTCAAAATCATTTTTAGGTTTAGGTAATTGATAGAATTGTTGTTGTAATTCTTTTTTGAAGGTCTAGTTTCATCAGAAATTGGGTTTATATTTAATTGGTCTCTAAATGGTGTATTCATTTCTGTTGTTGTTGTAGAAGCGCCGCCAGGTGTTGAAGAAGCTAATGTTCGTTGAGATTCAGTAGTTTCTATAAAAAAATTAAGAATTATAATTGTCAAAATTTCAAAATAAAAGAGGAAAACAATTATTTTTAATTAGGCAAAGAAATTATGACAAAAAGTGGACATAATTATTGAGAATCTGAATCGGTTGATTTAAAGTAATCATAAAAACAGTAAAAAATTTTCGAGAACAAAAATTTTTGGGAAACATCATTAGACTATTAAAAAGTTTTTAATAAATAGGGAATGTCTGTTATTTTTGGTTTTTTAAAATATTAAAAAAAAATATTTCTTAAACAAATTATAAAAATTTAAAAAAAACTAACGTCCAAACCCAACATTCTTTTGAGTTGCTGCCATTACAGAAAGAACAGTGTTTGGTGTAGAGATTGGTTGACGTTGACTTCCCGGAGCGCTAAAGTCGTGATTGTGAAGAGGAGTGTTGAGACCTCCTTTAAGTGGTGTTTCTACGTTTATAAGAGCTAATAAATCATCTGCTGCCTAAAAAAAGGAAAATTATAAAGAGATTTTGGGAAACTCAGCGGCTTTTAGTGAATTTTCTCTTGTTTTACCATTGCCAAACAAATCAACCAAGGATTAATTTTGGATAGTTGCTTCACTAAAAATAACTTGCTGGCCTCCATCTTTATGGTAGGACCATTTCCCTGAAGCTTTTCAACCCCGAGCCTCTTGATTGATCTAATTGCCAGAAACCAAGAAAAAAATAGGGGAAAATGAAAAATTAGGCTGCTAAAGTTCCGAATTCTGAATCGGTTTTCAAAAAAGTTTAATAAAAAAATACCCTAGCAACTGTATAAACATCCCCAACAGCAGTCTTTGTGTTCTAGCAGAAAATGGATTCATTCGTGCAGATTCGTTACAATCATGCAGAAGAGATTTAAAAATAAATTTTAATTTTTTTAAAAATAATTTTTCAAAAAGAAAACCTAGAAGGATTATCATCAACTAATTCTCTAACAGAATCAGATACATGTCCAATTTTTATTATATCTTCCAATTCTTTATCAGAAATTTGTGGCTCTGATAAAATAAGTTTACTTCGCTTCTTTTCATATTTCTCGCCAAATATTGATTCTGGCAAGTCTTCGTTTCTAAAAAAAGCAAAATATTAATTTTAGGCTAAAAATTTTAGAAAAATATATTAAAACCGAATGACCCTATTTTCTTCTGCCTCACTGGACGTAAAAGCAAAACTAAGGAGACATTTTATCCCAAAAGGAAAATTGGGAAAAAAATTAAAAAAAAATTTGCAATAATTATCCTTAAGATTTAAATATAAAATAACAAACTTTCTTTTCTTCAGCTTGTCCTTATCAGCCTTTCTGTCATCCCTTTCCTGCTAATCTCCTTCTCTATTTGAATTTGAAAATAAAATTGTAATTTGTGAAGATATATAAAAAGCAAAAATTGAAATATAAAAGTAATCAGAACATAACCGATATCAAAAAATACTTTTAAAGCAATCAAAAGTTCACTAAACCCAACTCAGTTCACTAAACCCAACTAAAATGCTCACCCCCAAGAAACAGATAAGCCTTATCGCCAGGCAACCCCAACACATTGAATATTCGCAAAAGTTGACGCCAATTACCGTGGATGTCACCAATTATGTATAGTGGTAAACGTTTGATTTTTACAACACAAAACTCGTCTTTGTAATGTTTTTTGAATGTATTCTCAGCTGCCAAACAAAGTGTTGTTATCTCGCTAGGATGATAAACAATCTGAAAAAAGAGATTTTTGGAATGATAAGAGAAAGAAGTCCCAAACCCGTTTCTTTGTATAACACAAATGCTTCTCCAAAAACTTCT